GCAACCAATGATTTGAAAACTAAAAAGTGGACCCTGCACTTGTGGGAAAACACTAGGAAGGAAAAATAGTCTATATGATGCTCAAATGAGAGTTTTAGCTGAATTTAAGATTGCATAATTTTATATGTCCAGACCCAAAGTCAGGTTCATCTTATGCTATGGAAATTCCTGAGGTGATTGATGTTACTTGTCCCTGGGGTCCAGAGGCCCCTTGTAAATTGTCTTGGCAATTATGATTGTTCAATGGCTGCAGTCCTGAACATTTCTGAATGTTGCTACTTGCTCAGAAGTAACAGAGAGCAAGCAAGGAAAACTAGGAAAAACATTTTGGGAAGGAAGGCTAAAGAGAATGGAAGGTACCATTCTGATAATTCTTTATAACTAGGAATGCTTCCCGGAAGCCAATTTTAAGTACAGAAACATCTTCCTGACAAGTCATTCTCCAACACCATCCATAGCATTTTCACCAGTTCCTAGAGTCTACATGAGCTACAACATTTAGGGGGGGAGGAATCCACTGCCCGTGCCAACTCACTGAGATCTACCCAACAAGACAGGGTCAGGGCTACCACAAAGGTATGTCCTCAATGCACACTGCTGGTCAAGGTTCTTGACAGAAACCATGGAAGCATAGGTCAGCACAGTCAACCAGAATATTCCCCTCTAGCCCTATCTGTAGCACAAGTCAATCAACAAAAACTTCAATGCATAATAAGACTATATAAGTCTTTTCTTCAATAAATGTTTTGTTTAAGTGTCCTCACATATTGTATTCCAAATAATTCAAAAGATCACTAGATATTGTACTATCCCATCTTGAACAAACCTTAAAAAAACCTGTGTAGTTTTCAGAAATTATAATGAGGAGTAGACTATCCATGTTTCACAAACTGCATGGAACTGCAAGCCTTGTTGGCAAATTCCTGGAACTTCTAAGATCACAGATTTTCAGTGATGCAACAATTTGCAATTGTTAGCAATGAAGGTGTAAAACAAGTTTTAAGCTTCTGATATAGAGTTAAAATATCCCCTGAAAAAGAATCACCCATCCCCCCAATGATAGTATACTTATCACCAGAATTGCCTCCCTCACAATCATTCTAAAAATGAAGTTTCCAGAATCCAAAATGTTGTCAGGATTTACTATAATTATTTGCAAGTTCAGTAACCCATTTTTACCCTGCAGGTAACAGATATGCATGTAAGTACCTTTTTTTAAATTAGTCAGCTTAGTATATCAAACAATAGGTGTCAGCCACAATAAAATAGGATAGACTGAAATAAGAGAAAATAAAGAAGTATGATAAGACAAAATAGAAGAGATCAAATAGACCGAGATAAAATAGTATAAGATACAATACAAAGAAATAAAATAAGATGAGTGATAAAATATAGCACAATGAGTATTCAGATGAATGTATCACCTTCACAAGCTATCCTACTATGTTCAGCATAATGGGTTCTCAGATGAACAGCCCTGACCATAATCCTAGCTGTGCTAATGACTCTATATGCATTTGTACCCTGAATATTTTGTTAGGTTTTCAATATGCAGTTCTGTTGAGTAGTGTCTTCAAATATTAAGCCCTTGCTGGCAGTGAAATAATACATGTGACGTATCTTCTACATCTGGTGCTCTACATAAACATGTTCTCTGCACAGGGGAAAGAGTGTAATTGTTCTTAAAGTTCCCCATCAAATGCTAGTTGTATTTGACATGTCTCTTCCAGAAATTACCACTTTAGATGTTCTTGGGACGTTCAAAGAATTAGAGGCAATATGGGCACCAAATTTTCACAGTAATTTTCTCCTTCCTACATGGGAGTGTGCCATCAAATTCATTACCAACAGATACTATATGTAGAAATTAAATCTTTAGGGATTGAGAATTTGAGAACAATTTTTTGGTTGAAATTCCTAATAATAGAATCAAAGTGTTTATTATTGGAGATCACAGGATACATATCTTGCTTCACAATTTCTCTTGAGGAGATTGTTGGATTTATTTCATTACAAAGTAATAAAAGAGACAGCAGGAGCTACCATTAAGAGTTTATTTTTATGGCCCATTTTCTGCTGATCTGAAGCCTCATTGCTGCCCCCATTACCCAACTGAAAACTCCCAAGCAGATCTTAATTTGGGATTGAATTGAATTGTGTGAAGCTAGCAAAGTTCTTGAACAATGGGGGAGATGATTATGCAATAAATAATGGGGCTGTCATACACATCATTTATTCATAATGTTCATATCTATTAACCAGTTCTTAACTAGATAAATGCAAGAGCATCATATTCAACCCGCAATCATTTAAGCAAAATTCTCTCATCCTTTGAAGATATTACTCTTTCATTGATGAGAGTGTTAACTGGTAGAACATTACTTCATAATATTATTATTAAATAAAACTTGCAGATTGCAGATTACAAATGACTGCTTATATAGATGTGGATTTATATCTTCCCTTTCATCAGTCACAACGAGGACATGGACACATGGGGAATAATAGAAGTCCCATCTCAATTATCATCAAACTACCTGAGAAGAGATAGTTCTTTCCTTTCCTTATCCTCTTCACTCCTTGTCATGATTGAGCAGAATATCATATGAAACATCATCTGATATATATGGTGTAAAAATCTAATAGATACCTTTCACCCTGGCTTCGCTGATAATGGATAAAAGCCTGTGGCCTAATGGCTAAGAAGTCGGCCTATTATGTAATATAGCCCAGGTTCAAATCCCAGTAAGGGTATGGCTAGCTGATATATATATATATATATATATATATGTATGTATGTATGTNATATATTAGTTTATCTCATATATTAGTTTATCTCATATATTAGTTTATCTCATATATTAGTTTCACCTTTTATCTCATATATTAGTTTATATCTCATATATGAGTCTATCTCATATATTAGTTTCACCTTTTAAGTTGCATTACTGAAATAAATGAACTTTTGCACGATATTCTAATTTTTTGAGTTTCATTTGTATTTGTGACAGTTGCAGTTTTCCCAAGTCCTGTGATCTCCTTTTGCGATCTTCTGACAAGCAAAGTCAATGGGAAGCCAGATTCACTTAATGATTGTCACTAACTTAACAACTGCAGTGAGTCACTTAATAATTGTGGCAAGAAAGATTGTAAAATGGGACAAAATTCAATTAATGTCTTGCTTAGCAACAGAAAGTTTGGACTCAATTGTGGTTGTAAGTCAAAAACTACCTGTATTACATGTATGATTGAAAGCATACTAGGTATAATAAGATTGGGTTTATATACTGCACATTGCTTGTACAGCCATTATTTATTTTAATATGAATTCTTAAATAACTGAGAATTGTGCCCCAAGCTATAAACTATAATTTACAAATCACAACATCTGGTTTCACATGAAAAGACTGTGCATACCCAATATAGGCTTTTAATTTATCTTTAGCAAAACATTTACAGAAGAAACATTTCATGTAATTAGTTTTATAATATTTCCTGTTACTGACCATGACTTCATATCAATGTGACAATGTTCAAATATACTGATAATTCTGTTAGATATTTTTGTATTAAAATCTATTTATAATTGGTTTTCTGTTAGGAAAAAGATTAAAATGCATGTCTGTTCATATCTCACCTAGCTTTTGCAGAAGTATTTTTAACTTTTCTGAATGACTGATTTGCTGTAGATCTTGTGGAAAGAGTCCTCGGTGAAGCACGAACAAAACTAGATGGTGGTGTTTTGGGGAGCTTCTTTATTAAATGAGAAACCCATTTCTTCTGATCTTCCTGACAGGATGCCAACAGCAACATGTCTCTTGCTGAAGTTACGTCGTAACTTACTATTGGGAACAAAACGAACAGAGCCAAACTATTTTGAGAAAAAAGAATATATAGACCACTTTTCTTGCAAGTTACATTAATTATCATCACTATCTGCTTTTCCTTCCAATAAGAGCCTGTACTGATGCACAAAAACAGCATTTAAAATACATAGAATATAAAAAATAAAAGAGCTTACTGACTTTCATTAACAGTCTGGTGCTGAGTCATAAAAACCTAAGATTCATCTAAGAAGCTTACCTACTAGGTATTGTTATAAGAAAGCATATGAGATAAATTATAATAAAATCAAGATCTCAATTTTTGCACAGCATTTAGAGTTCATCCTGATAGTTAAATGATTAGACAACAGAACAAGTTATAATCTTTAAATATTTGGGTGTAGTTTTTCCAAGTCAACCAAATGCAAAGATCAGCAACAGCAATACAATCCTTTCACTATTCCAGATGGGCACAGCATTTTCCCAAAATGCTATATTTGGTTAAAGTATGTGAAACTTTTGTTGGAAGGTCATTGGAACCATATGACTCCTCTGTCCCTTTGGAAACAGACCAGTTTAATTCCTAAGGAATATTGGCAGATAGTTATCTAATGGGATAAAAAACATAGAAGTTCCTCTCATTAAAGTGAAGCAGACATATGGATATGCATTACTGTCCACTAGCTAAAATATTTTTAGAAGGTCTTGATTTTCTAATTATGATGGATTTGCTTGTGATTGAGACAACAATGAACAGACTATCCTTGCAAAAAAGCTGCAACAGAATTTATTTTCAAAAAATTATATTTTGATGATGGACCAAAACAAGTTTTTTCAACTGTGTAGCTGTAGTTTTACATTTGTATTTTGTTTCATTTGAAACATAGACTATTTAGTTTACTCTGCCATACTAATGAACTACCTAACTAAAAATCAGAATAGTACACTGGAGTGTTGAAGGTAAACAGAAAAGGGTTGGATCCAAACAAGCAGCACACTGTAACAAATGCTTGCTCAAAAACATAAATCCATCTGAACTCAATTAGATTTATAAACAAACATACACACACACACACACAGAGAGACACTGGATTCCAGCCAAATTAGGCAAATTAATCAGGATTTAGGTCAACAATTTCAGCAACAACTTCATATATGCATACCCTGCATTGAAACTGTTAGAAACAAATTGAACAATAGTTAAAAACAATCATATGCCATACCTTTACATGGTGCTATTAATTCTTCTTTTTTATCCAAGTGATCTTTGTGGCATTTAACATGGCATCGCCGACATTCAACTGCAGGGGGTGGTTTAAATACGTGCCATAGAGGCTTGGCACAAGCCTCACAATTGGCTGGAAAATGGTATAAAGTTGGTACAAATTCATGCCCTTTATGATGCATAAAATTTGTCTTCTCTGCTGGCTGTACTGATTCTACTTCCAAGTCTTTTCTACACTCTCCCTCGTTGGCATATAAGATCTGAGTAAAGCAAAACAAAACAAAAAAATGTAAAGATTTGTGTAAATACACATTAACTGAATGAACAAACTGTATAAGTAACTAATATTTAAAAACAAATACGCAAATGCTTTACCTGAAATATTTTGGGTATTTCCTGAGTTTCTGCTCTATAAACATCACCCTGTGTAACTGGTCTAACGTGGAACAATTTACTAAAATGAAATTACATAGTGTTAATAATCATTCTCCGTACAAGGCAAATTTATCATCTAATTTAACAATATAACATTGACTGTTTCATGTTAATATCCCATATTCACAGGTGATATTCCTTACAAAAATAGGTGATGCCCATGCCAACATAGTATTCATAAATTTAAAAAATGCATAACTATTAAAATACCAGAAAAAGAACACTAATGAAGTTTTTATAGTTTTTATAGTGAATGTAAACATCTTTATGTAATCTATACTCTCAAACAATACATACATATACATATAATACATACGTATTATAACTGCAGTGGCCACCATATTGCACTAAAGTAAAATATACAGCTGAAGTTTTTAATTTTAGAAGACTTTTACAAAATCTAGACTATTAAAAATGAACACAATTTTGAATTCTTTTAATCATCTTAAAACAAAATAATTCCAATGATAATGATCAGTCTGATTTTGGCAACAGAGTGCATATTGGATAAAATGCATTTGATGACATGTCTACAATGTCAATATAATTTCTGTAACAACCATAGTTAAATTTTAATCATAAATTCTATATTGTATTAGTTCTATATTTCTGCACCTCACAATTACAAGTTTGTGAACATTAAATATTTATCACTGTGTGCATACACACACACATATACCCTTAAATACTTACATGTATTTATACTTATTTATCTTACTTATTGTTCACAAAATACTACAAGAATATTCTGTCATCTTCTAAAAACACAATTTCTCCTTAAGCAATATAAACCCTGACCAAAATATATCCACATGGTCCCTAAGAGTTGATTCAATTTATTTGCAAAACCAAAAATAAACCAAAAAAGTATAAATTACAAGATTGTTACTATGTGGAAACAAATATAATACAGAATCCAAAAAAAGGTTAAGAGATAATGTTTAGAGGAAATATTTGGAAAATTATTAGGAAGAAGGATAACCAAAATTAATTACACTTCAACAATCACCTACAGTCTTTTTAGACTTCAAAATTATTTCACTTATATTTCAAATTGATATTAGGTAAACGTACTCTATATCCAATACCATAGATGGATTAGATTGTTCTTTATCCTGTTCATCATTATAGAATAGAATCTTCCTGCTGCTGACCACAACATACTGGTGGGGAAAAAGGAAACGAAAAGACACTATAAGTGCCTATGTTATGATTGCTCATGATAAAAGTCATATAAAGCAAATCAATTTTTCTGGGCAAACATAAGGTGTGAGGTCTAGTAATATGAGTATCCATAGAAATTTAAACTAACCACCTGTATATTATAATGAAAGACAAATACAAATATAATATAAAATGATTTAGTCATATTACACTTTTGGTAACACTTTAAATACATTAGTATCAAAATATTTTCATATCTGGGTTAAATAATTTCAGGTTCTGCACGGTATGATAAATATAAATTATAAAATATTTAAATATAAACTGTATATAAAATTATTTTAACAGTAGACAAGATTTCATATAATAATTTCTCCTGATTTTCTTTACTGTAACATTTCGTATCTGAATTTGAATGTATTAATTCCCATTGTAAACACACATTTTTCTTTATATGTACTCTAATTCAAGTCAAAATCAGTACTTGATTTGGCTTATAAAAGGCAAGTCGATGCATACCTGCTTCTTCCATCCATAACGTTTAATATTCCCTTTGTTTGGTATTGAAAGCCAGCCCTCTATTCTTGATTCTGTATAAAAACCAATATATACTGGTTAACATTTTATTTGTAGAGAATTCCAAAGAAAAGAATTGCTTTCATGCAGCCATTAGCAATGATCAAACAGACTAATAAAATAGCAACAAGTAAGCTTAGCTAAACAACAAGATTGAAGCTTTTTTCATGCCTAGTCACAAATTCATATACCATGGCACTATTACAAAACCTGCAAAGAGGTTATAACTTACATCCAACACTTTCAATTGATATGTTTTAACTTAGTTGTCAGGATCTCAATGGCCAACTGTTTCAGCATAAAGGTGTTTTACAAAAGCTATATTCCTAATTTCATAATAAAGTGGGAGCAATTAAATATTTTGCATAAATATATAGTAATTGAAAGCCACAATGAAAGTGCAAAAGAGCAAGCAAGAAGTCCCCATTTGTCCCATTACTCACAGAAGTTAAGAACAGAAGAGAAATAAATAAGGAATGTAGAGAGAATCAGCTAGATATAAAGAATAAGAAAAAAAGCAATTTATTCAATTTTAAATGACAGAGAACGATAAAATGAAAGAACAAGTTTATGACTTGAAGCTTAATTTAAAATTAAGTATTAGCTGATGAAATTCTCGATTCTCACATTAAAAAAAATCAAAATATATAATACATCCAAATCAAGTTACTTATTTTGAACTAAGGACTCTGTGATATGAAGGTGATAAGCTGCATACCAAGAATAATTAGTAGTGTATGTTTTTGTCCAAAATAGTGATGTAAACATAAAAATTCACACATCCTTGTGATGATAAAATCTATTTTTGTTTACCATTCACATGTATAAAATATAAATAGAGAAAAAGAAAAACATCTTATCTAAACAGGATAGTATTTTTGGTCTAACATAATGGAGAATTACAAATAGTTACTCTCTTACCTGTAACACTTCCATCTGTTTCATCAGCCTGAAGGCTGGCAACACTAGTAGAGTCCATGCCCTGCTGCAAGTCTAAAATTTTACTACGCAATTGTTCTATATCACTTTCTTTACTGTCCAGCTGCATCTGAAGTTCATTCCTGTATGTGGACTCTTCCACCAGTTGCTGTATTCAACAGAAGTAAAATGTAATAATGGTAAACCATTCTTCCAATACTTATTATGAATTCAACTGGTAATTAATAGTAATTACCAGTAATTAATAGTAAAGTCAGTATTCATAAACAATTTTTCACTTATATCACTTTCATGGAGAGCTGTAGAGCACATTGTTTAAGGTTATTCTGGTTCCTGTTGGGAAATATTAGGTGGGAAAATGAACTTCTAGGCCACTGAAAGAAGTTTGCAGAGTATCTGAATATCATATTCAGATATTGGTTTACTAAGCCCAGTCAACAGAGATTATACAAATTAACCACAATGTTTGAACAAACTGAATTTTATACATCTTTTAAATCTGAAATATAACTCTGGCTTCAAAAAGTATATGATCAGTGAATCTATTTGATAATTATGTTAAAAAGTCTTACCGCTTGCATTTCATTAAGCTCCTTTTGATATTTTGTTACCATCTGATTAAATTTCTCCTTTTCCTGGTTAAGTTCCAACTGCAACTTTCGGTTTTCCTTCTCCTTTTTCTTGAAATCTTGCATATTTACTTTCTTCCTATCTAGTTTAAAATCTTTTCGATTCATAATCTCAGCCAATTTGTTGACAGCCTATTGCATATTAAATAGGAGAAAATCAAAGTAGACACATTAAAACAAATTAACTTTGGAAAGTAAGCACAGAAGATTTCTATCTAGATAATAAATATCAATAAATATTATTTTTCCATCTGAATATTTTATGAAGAACATTCTCAGCTTAGTCTATTAAAGAGACAACAGATCATTAATAGCTTTACTTTCGGTTAATTAACATCTTCTCTTGGAAGCCATTTCACCATTTACTTAGTAAAACAATTTCAAATATTACATTTCACAACATAAAATTAGTTTTACTAAACAAATATAAATCTCACATCCATCTGCAATACATTTATAGGCTTAAGTGACTTCTATTCTAACTCATACGAATAACCATGAGCTACCTAAGGAAGCACTTTTTTGTACATGTGTCTTTTGAGTCAGTATTCACTCCTGGAGAATACTAGGCAAATCTGATAAGTTTTCTTGGCAACATTTTTGGAAGTAGTTTGCCATTGCCTTCTTCCTAGAGATGAAAATAACTGGATCAAAATCACTTAGTTGGCTTTTTACCTAAAACATAACTAGAATTAATGATCTTTCAATTTTTAGCCTGGTGTGTTAACCACAACAACAAATTGGCTCTTGTGGAAGCGTTAGCGTCTCTAAATGTTTGTCATCTAAATATTCATAAATGTAGTAATCTGCCTTTATTACATCAGACCACTGAACTATCTAGGATACCATTGACTATCAACAGTGTTTCTCTGTTTTATTTGATGTAAAGAAACCATATGTATTACTATTCAGAAAACAATATATCTGTATGAAAGACAACTCATTACTGACCTAACTACTAATTTTTGAGTCACAATTTCTATACAGGTATTTTAATTATTAATGAGAATAATGGCAAATGCTTATGAGAAGGCTGTATATACATTACAAGGCAAAGCTCATTTTCTGAAATCACAATTAAAAGAAATATGGTACAGGCTCTCTAAGGCTGACCAATATATTTAGGTTTTTTTCCTGTTATTATATGAATTAAAATTCAGAAAAACAAAATTCTTTATGAAGAACCAAAGCACTATATTTTAGCAGATATATGCTTAGTCACTTATGCCCTGGTTATCTCTTGTTTTGATTACTGCAATCCATTCTACTTGGAGCTACTGTTGAAGAATATTTGGAAGCTACAATTGATTCAGAATTCGGCAGCATGAACTGTTTTGGAGGTCTAATGTAATAACAGTGTTACATGAGATGCACTGGTTGTCAATCTGCTTCCAGGTCCAATTCAAGGTGTTGATGGCATGGGTCCAGGTTATCTGAAGAGCCGTCTGGCTCCAATGGGATTAGCCTGCCCCACCCATTCTGGCAGAAGAGGCCTGTTGCAGATTCCATCAGCCAAGGCTAGCAGAGTCCAGGAGAAAAGCCTGTTCTACTATGGTCCTGCGTTCTGACTGGAGGCGAGATTCACCCCTACTCTTTTGGCCTTCAGGAGGGGCCTTAAAACCTGGCTGGTTACTTAGGGTCCCAATAGAAGTGCACTAGGTTGGCAATAGTTGCCAGTAATGATAAGAGAATGTCTCACTACCACTCTGCATGAATCCTTAAGGTTTTTTTTTGTTAGCCTGTGTTTAACTTTGGAATTTTAAATAGTTTTTATATTTGTAATTTGTTTTTATATTTATTGTAAGTTACCCAGAGTCACTTTGGATAGCATGATGGGCGGCATATAAATGTATTAATAAATGAATGAATAATCTAAAATAGCTGTCCTTTAAAATACACATCTCCATCAACCTACCAAAATACACTCACCTGTGTTTTAAGTGTCCTTTCATTGCTCAAGTTTTTTTCATACTGTGTTCTAATTATGTTCAATTCCTCTTCTTTTTTCAATATATACTCTTGTTGAAAAAAAAAAAGAATATGTGGGATTTTATTGCATCAGTATCACAAATACTTTCTCTCTTTTGTTAAATCTTAATTTAATAGAAACAGAACAGGGTCCTGCCCCCACATATTCAGTCCAGAATTATTCAGGATGGAAAGTGCTTAGCTTTTAAATAGGCAGGCTTGGTTGATTTATTAAGCGAATTCCTAATATAATTTTTGACTCACTGTGTTTTGTGAACCTAGCAAACGTAATGGTAATGTGTTTAGTTTTGTACAATACATGAAACATAAAAATGATATTTAAAGCAAATGAACTACAGTTAGTCTAGACTACGTAGTTATTACTTGCAATTCATAAAAAAAACTAGAATCACTTTCTTTGCTAATTAAGATCTGTATATCAACTGACACAATGTCCAAACTGATAAGCTTAAGTTACTGCCATTCTTGGTTTTCAAAAATTAGGTATAAAGTGCATGTGCATGCAATGTGACAAACAATGGAAAAATAAAACAGACCATACAGTAGATGCTTAAATCTGAGAGAAATTTATTGTTCCATTAAATAAATATAGGATGACTGTCTAAGTCATTACAGATAATCCTCAGCTTACAACCAGTTGACCAAATTTATGGTGGCCATGGAATGGTTACTGTACAGTCCAATGCAGCATTCTGCAGTCATGTGACTGCTACTCATAATAGTGCTTGCAAAAGAATAGGCTCGCTTAAAGACCATGTTGTTTGTTTAACAACTGCTACTAAAAGGCCAGCAGATTACTTCTGATTACATGAGTGCCTCAACTTACATCTATAAAAACTTATGACTTATTTACAGTCCCAATTACAGTCATAAGTCAAGGACTACCTGTATATTATTGACTCTTAAATTCTGTTCCTGTTTATAAGAAGCTTTATTTCATTTTCTATTAAAATAACCCAAAGGAATCAAAACCATGAGAAATTAATACAACAAAACAAAAGTGGAAATAATGAGAGAAGAAAAATAAAAAATATGAGGGTTTGTTTTTAAAAGGACTATCTCAACCATTTGTAATACCCCTTTAAACTCACTACTCAAAGTGTGAAGGTGCAAAATCTTAAAAATGGTTAGTGAAACTGTTTCAAGAATATTCCTTTGTTGATTTGAGCATGTGGATGGATGTGAAGATGACACCATTTCAAATATTGCCTGAATCGCTAGATACTTTCTGAAATAAATTTTAAAATGCTGATGAATTTCTTCCCTAAAATGTTATTTTTACCTAAAACATTAAACAAGACCCCCTATACCATTTCTCATACATTCTGATAATCATTCATATATGTACACCAAGAATTCGTTGTGTTCTCATGTTATCTCACATTTTTCCTAATTTACAAAGACTGAACCTTGCCTTCTTGAGTATAACTACAATCACACTTAAAATCTCTGAATTAGTTCAATAATATTTACATCTTTTGGCCAAATCCCCCCTCCCACATTTATAAAGCAATATCTATAGAATACCAAACCATATTCTGCTGCTGCAATATTGAAAGACCATTTCTCTTACTGTATAAGATAGTATTGAAAAGGTGTTGATTTTCTTCCAAACAATGTAATTGAAAATATGAAATACCTTCTTCAAGTTTTTTAATATTTCCATTTAGGTCAGAATTCTCCTTTGTTAGAAAGGCCACATCTTTGGTTAATGTATTATTTGTTTCTTCAAGCTAAAGGAAAATAAAACAATAACATCAGCTGCATTTGGCTAATTGTTGAAAAAAGAAATAAAAATTTTGGAGAAGTATACTGCTTCTATTATGGAATTGAAGAATGAATGGACACAACTACATGGCTAATGGCAATTCATCTTTCCATAACTTATTTTTAAATTTGATCTAGTTTAAACATATGTTTTACCCATGTGGATATTAGCAAAAATATATTAATACAAATACTAAGTTTAAGACAACATTATGTGTTAGCACGGTCAAACTGATTTGATATAAGTCCAAGAAAAACATCAAAGAAACAGTTGGTTTACCAATAGGATAAAATGGCAACATAGTGATAAGGAAAGGGGGGAACTTAAATTATTTAATTCCTATTTGCACCTGTTGAAAATAGTAATCCAAGTTGCTGGAAACTTCACTGGAGAAGCAAAACAGAAATCTAAGTCAAAATAGGAAAGGAATAGGTGAAAGAACAAATAGCTGCTTAGATGAACTTGAATCTTTGGACTTAATCTGTCAAAAACTGGCAGATTTTATCTCAGTACCACTGACTGTAATCTTTGAGAACTGTTAAGAGTACAAGGTATGTGCCAAAAGATTGGAAAAATGCTGATAACATCTGGATGACTCCTACCCTGATCTTGTTCAGGAACCTATTAAAAGCCTGGCCATTCTCCCAGGCTTTGGGGTTAGATGATAGTTGAACCCCTGTTGGATGGGAGGTTTTTTTTTTGGCTGATGTGTTTTTGTTCAGACCACTCATGATCTCTTTTTGGTCATTTTTTTCCTTTTATTTGTAAGCTGTTGATTTCTTATTTTGTAGTCAGGACACCTCTACATTTTATGTATTATGAATGCACCAATAAATTTCTATCAACTTAAAAAAGAAAAAAGAGAAACCTCACAAGCTCCCAGATCAATCATGTTGAAATTGCAACTGGGAAAATTCTAGAAAAGATCAGTTTGCAAGCCCTTAGAAAAGTCATTGTGGGTTTATTAAAAATAGGACATGAACACATTTTTTTCTTTTGACAAAGTGCATAGATTAACAGATCAAAGGAACACTATAGATGTAGTACACTCATACTTCACTAAGGATTTGACCACTTTTACCACAGCTGCTTAATGAAACAAAACAATGTGGGATGGATGACGCCACTAGCTATGGATTTGCAGCTAGCTGAAAAATCATACCCAGTTATGGTCTTAAATGGTTCTATTTCAGTATGAGGAAGTGAACAGGAAGTGAGGAAGAGTATTCAGATTTAACATTCAACTCTTCGAAGAAAGCACAAGCTAACTGTTTAAAATCAGATTTTGTTTCAACCAGAGCTAACTGTGTACACAGTTTCTCACAAGTCATAACTACTTGTTAAACATTACCCTGGGAAATAGTACAATATATTGTAATATTCAGCTTGGGCGACAATTTCTTACTTAGTTATGAACTCACTAATAGTTTACACATTCTGCTAAGCCATTATTCATGATTTGTAGAGCAAAACAGAGTGCTCTTCAACATTTTCATAAGTGACACAGATAAGGGGACCAAGCAGATACTCATCAATTTTGCAGATTACAGAAAGCTTGGTGGTGAGAAAATAGGATTGAGGTAGAAAATGACAGACTTGTACACTGGCCCTTATTTAACAAAAAACAGTTTAGTTGTGAGAAATGTAGACTTACGCACTTCAAGCAGGGAAAACAAGATGCATAGGTGCATTATTGGCTATACCTTCTATCTCAGCACCAGTACTTGTGTGAAGGATCCAAATGCTCTGACAGCCTACTGATTAATCATGAACAAGCAATGTGCTACAGCTATCTCAAGTGCTAATGGAATCTAAGGCAGTATCAACAGAGATGCAGTGTCCTGTGGGAAGTGAGAGTTCCACTCTTACGTTGCATTGGGTATTGTGTCCAGTTGTGGTTGCCAAAATACAAGAAGTATACTGAGGCTAGAGAGAGAGGACAAAGATGGAGCCCTGGAGATAACATTCTATGAAAATGTGATAAACTAACTGCGTATGTTGGGCTTTAAAAGAACTATTAAGCAGTAGAATAGTCTGCTTTCTGTAGTTACTAAGACTTCACCACTGGAAGTTTTCAAACAATCAATGGATGTATATAAGATGGTATGAGGATTCTTTCCCTGAGCAGGGAGTTGGCTGGAAGATCTCCAAAATCTTTTCTAAACTATAATTCTGTAATTCCCAATACAAAAAAATTTCATATTTCATTAAAGGAAACCTCATCCTTCTTTAACTATACGTATGCAACCATCATGCTATTAAAGATTTGTAAGAAAAACAAGCATGCCTCATAGTGACCTCTCAGATGTAGTCACATTACTAAAGATACAATAGATTTCTTTCTCACAATATAATAAATTGACTTCATGATACAAAAATATAAATGTATCTTACCCGACTGACAATGTTGTCCTTATCAGTAATCTCTAGTCTGTTTCGTGATGCTGCTTTCTTACTCTCTTGTGTTAGTTCAAAATATTGTTCTTCAAGGAGAGCTCGGGCTAATTGTTCAGATTCAGCTTTTGTTTCAGCCAGATCTAACTGTGTAACAACAGCTTCTCTGCAACAGAAAATTATTATTTTTAAAAAATACTAATTGTGTAAAATACTACACTGCTCTTTTAGAGAGAATGCAATGTAGTTGCTAAACTTATGATACAAGTTCTATCAGGATATCAGGTTTGTTTTAGACATATTTGTGAACTATCCATCATGATAGTTATGCTATAAGCCATAATGGAGATTGTTTGACTCAGATTGATATGGTGTGAGCCCAGCATTGTTTAACTCAGGGCCAGTGACTTGTGCATTATACAAACTACTATGTTTCAATACAAGACAATTACAAGAATAAATTGTAATCCCTATCAGATTCCCGAGGAGATCATTATTGCTACTGAAAAAAATATGTAAGATAAAAAAAATCCTTGCATACTGAATTATCTGAATTTTCCTTTTCTGCTGGGACTATAGCTTTTGTTTATATCTTACAATAATAAAGAAACAGCTCATATTTATACTTTTGTTTCACTGAATATTGTACATACATTTCAATAGCAACAAAGCTGCTTTTTAGGCACATTTTAAAATTCAACTATTTTCTTAAAATATAGGCAGCAATCCACAAAATTATCGTATTTAAATCCCTTTGTTTCCAAGTGATAAAAAAAGATTTTTCTCTTTCTGGGAGATGAGCAGTTCAAAAATGTAAAAAATACATACATACGTATATACCTAAGTATTGCATCAAAAATATCAATGAGTATCTCAATTTTTGAAGGACTCTGCCCATAAAAGTGACTTACTTTTCATTTAGCAGCTCCTGTATTTTTTTCTGTGTTTCTTTATTTTTTTCTTCAATTTCTTCTTTAAGTTCTTTAACTTGAGTTTTATAAAGTGTCTGAAATTTTTTTTTAAAAGGCACCATCATCATTTAGACATTGTTACAATCCAGAGATTCCCATTTATTAGTCAAACTTGGGATGAGGATAAGCGCTACATATTATTCAATCTATATTTGTGTATTATTTATATCAAGTTTTTACAACCACTCTCAAAGAGCTTGCAACATTTTTTTAAGAAATTAAAGTTAAAAAATTGTACAATGAAGCTAGCAACAAAGAGATAACAGTGTAATTTTTATTCAAATCAATTCCACCTCATGCTGCCTAGCATAGGTAGTCCTCAACTCACAATCATTTGTATAGTACCATTCAATTACAACATCACTGAAAAAGTGGCTATTTTTTCATACTTACTAACGTTGCAGCATCTCCATGATAACATGATCAAAATATGGACACTTGGCAACTGGCATGTATTTATGATGGTTATAGTGTCCTGGATCATGTGATCACCTTTTGTGACCTTCTGACAAGCAAAATCAATAGGGAAGCCAGATTTATTTGAAAACTATGTTACTATTTTAACAACTGCAGAGATTCATTTAACAACTGGGGCAAAAAAGGTCATAAAGTGGGGCAAAATTCATTTAACAACTGTCTTGCTTACCAACAAAAATTTGGGACTCAATTGTGATTGCAAATCAAGGACTACCTGTACAGCAGACAAATACAGATAGCCCTCAACTTACAACAATTAGCTTAAGGACAGTTCAAAGTTATGAAAAAGCAACTTAAACCTATATTTGCACTTACAACTGTTGCCCCACCCCTGCATCATGTGCTCAGGCAACTGGCTCACATTTACATCCAACTGCAGCATCCTGCTCTCATATAAATAAGTTTTATGACATTTTTTGCCAGGTTGTGAAGTTGGATTAACTTAATAATCACGTAAAAGTTGTCATGTAATAGGCTGGACTTGACTTACAACCACAACAATTTACAATGGAAATTGCCCTCCTAATTGTGATTGTAAGTCAAGAACCATCTGGGCGGGGAGGGGGGGAGAGAAGAAAATGATCTAGATAAATAAAATAATGGTTAAGTCAATCTGAGATTCATGAGTGCTAGCTTGAAAATAGTTATACCTGCTTGACTGATGAATTGAAAATTGGGAAACAAATGTGGGATGAAACAAAAACTCGGTTACAATTTTACATACATAAGAGATATTTAAAAAATTATCTCCATTTGGAAAGGCCAGATTGAATATTTACTTCACCTTTTAATGAAGTTTTAATCAATGCTGTCAAGGAAAAATAAGAACAAGATCTATAGAAAGTCTTTTCTAATTAGGCCTTCTTCCTGTCCTTCCCAAATTGGATTTTTTTTAAAGCATTGTGAATTAAGTGAAGTGTTAATATTGCAATGATTTAATATAAATATATTGTTAATCAATTTGGGCTCTTTTTATTATAAAGTAAGAGCTAAATAATTACTTTATAATTGAGATTAACATTCAAGAATAAATTGCTAGTGCTATTAGTTTTACAAATTCACTCTCTCATCATCAAGATACACTTAAAGGAATATCATTCATATATTTTAAAAAGATCAGGCCAATATCAAATAATGGATAAGGCCAGGGCACAGTAGTTGGTTGAATTATGGGACAGCTTCTTCCTAGATCTGTGCTATATTTTTGTGCAGTGAAATGCAATGTAATGTACAATTTAAGCTGCTGATGGGAATGCTAATTTTGGTTTTTCTACAATCAAAATTCTGCAAACCCAAAAAAGAAAAACCACTATATGATAAGATTCTTTTTTCACTACTTTGTCTAGTTAACTGATTTTCTATTTTCAAAAGAGTTTTTAAGGAGCTTTTGGGGGATATATACGCCAGACATTAAGAAAATCAATCACAATAACCTTTCCCTTCCCTTAAACAACTGGAGCGTTCCAGTTGTTTAAAAATAATAATGAAAGTGGAAGAAGGCATTTGTAAAAGTAGCTTCTTGGATATTTAGTGAAAAAAATGATTTAGTATAGCAATTCTTTAAACAAATCTGTCTCTTCAGAGACAGGCTTATTGGAAATTCAAAATACAGGTGCCAATATAGCAAAGTGGGATTTTAGGCCCAGAAAGTCAAGCCAGGTATATTATTGAGCCTATCCTAATACATGTGTCCAAAATGTCAACAAGAGCAAGTCCAGAACTGGAAGAAAAATGAATGTTTATCATTTTTTTAGCTTCACAGCAGACAAAAAAGTGGAAGTCAAACAGTAATAAAAAAAACAGCTACGTGTGTGCCTTTCTTGTTCTTCCTCCCCCACTCATCACTTTTCCCATTCTAAGACACAAACATTATCTAAAAGTGAATTTATATATTTATGCAAGTTGTACAAAACATAATTAAATGCTTGTGTAATATAAATAATACTTACAGAAAAATATTGTTCTGCTTCTAGCTGATCTTGTAGTTCACGCATTTGGCCTTCATTCCCTCTGTATTGCCTTTGAGGGAAAAAACAAAGGAATTTCTATTCTGAACTCTTAGTCATTAGGTGTTCAGTAGATCAAGTAATAGAAGTATTATTTGAATAGAAAACAGGCAACTTTATAACTCTAGGAATTTAAAATATTTATGCCATTCATTTTCATGGAGTGTTTCCACAAGATATTTGCATAACTATAGTGAAGTCAAATGTTGATAAAACATAGCACAAACCACATTACTAAAAGCAGTCCTTTACAATATAGTTCTTTTTGATAATAAAAAATGTAACTTACTTAGCCAGCTGAGCCAACTCAAATTCTGCTAATCTTTTTGCTTCTAACAATGCATTGATTTCCTGTTTTAGCTGTTTCTCAGAACTCTTTAAACTATCTGCTTCTATAGCATGCATCTTCAGTTCATTTTGTGTCATCACTCTTTTATTTATCTCGTGTTCCAATTGATGTGTCAGATTCTTAACCTAAAAATACAATAAAAATGTATTTATTGCTACATAATTTGGCATTATTATCCAGGAAAATATTTATTTGAATTATGGAGGTGCTAACAACACATTCACAACTGCTTTGAAGCACTTTGTTTGTACCCTTCTGGCACTCCCTTAATTTAAGCATGTATTTTCTTCTATGGCTACCATGTGAGCCAAGGAAAAGATGGTAGCATTTTTTTTAAGTTGCTGGCAGGCACAATCCATGCCTATTCCAAAACATTATTTTAAGCTTTGGATTGCTGCATGTATATCTGAGATCAAAAACAATACTTATACCAATATTTTTCTTTGCATTAAATTATCTCAATCAAAAATATGCTTAAAAATCCATTACAAAGGCATTTTGCCTTCAGATATCTGGAATTCTGGCATGAAATGCTCAACATCTACAAACCATGTAGTCCTTTTGAGTTCTATTCTATATGAATATGTACAGCAAGAATATACAGCAACAAGGGCTTGCCTTAATAAATTCCAAAGTTTTAATATTTTGAGACTTCTAGTGAAAATTAATGGTAGTTTAGTTCTGCTTGTCTTCAGGAAAGACAATACCACAGCTGAGATTGGAGCCCAGAAGCTAGTGCCTGAAGCCAAACTTCCTCTGATCCAGATAAAGGAAAACAACTCAGCAGATTAAACCAGGAAAAGTACCCAGACTAGGTGGATTACCATTTTTTATTATAAATGCTTTCTGGATGAACTTTTACAACTCTTCCAAATTACAATGAACTCTATTCTGTAAGATACGTGGTGGTGCAGTGGTTAGAATACATATTGCATGTCAATTCTACTGCATGCCAGGAGTTCGATCCTAACCAGCTCAAAGATCAGCAATCTGAAATCTCATTTACAGACCTTGGAAGGATGGAAGATTGAGTCAATTTTGAGCCTGTCAGGATCAAATTCCTAGCAGCTGAATAGAATTAGCCTGCAATACTGCATTCTAACCACTGCGCCAACATTGAGAAAGAGAAGGTTATCAGAGATAAATTAATATAGAATTTATCATTAGAAAAAGTTTTAATGTTTCTATTTTTTCATAATGTAACAAAACAAAGGTTCAAGTAGTTTCATTAGAAGTCTCATATACCTGTCAATGGCCTTCCAATTATATTTACAACTGTTTAATTAAGATTCAGGAAAGATTTTAGAATATCATGCCCAGAGCCTTAGGTGTGGGGAAGTTTACAAATAAATAATTTGTGAAATTAATTTTGTGGTAGAGTTGAAGCTAGAGAGATTTTTGGATTCATAGATAAAAGGTAATTGTTCAAGTACACCTAAAAGAAATGTTCACATGAGTATAGAAATTACTGTCTTACCTCATCTTCCAGTCTCTCTTTCTGTTCAGTAAGGTGCTCAATCTTCTGTTGTGATTGCTTCAAATCAAAGTCTAACATGGAACATTGTTTTTCAATCTGAACTATTCTATTTTCTGCCTTCTCTCTTGCTGCTCGTTCTTCCTTTACCTTTTTTTCAATTTCTGTGGGAAAAAAGACAACAAAAACTAAATATAGGTAGTCCTCACTTACTGATTTTATACTAATGTTTCGCTAAGCCCAAGTCACAACATCAGATCAATTTCTGGCTCAATTGCTAAGCAAATAACTGTGGGCCATTAAATGTGATGTCATTTGACTTTTGTTTGTGGTTTTTCTGCCAGCTTCCCTATTTGCTTGTTGGGAGCTGGAAATCGTGGGTCATGGAACACTGCAACTGTCATAAATGTGCACTAATTACCAAGCGCCCAAATTACTATCATGTAGGTTACAGGAATATAGTCATAAGTTTGAAGACCAGCTGTAACATTTTCAGCCTCATCATAATTTTGAACAGTTGCCAAACAAGTGATTGCTAAGTGACAATTACCTGGAAAGTAGGTTAAGAAAGCAAAAAAGAATGTATTCATGAGATCTTTCAGATATCCTGAAAGGTGAGAGAAAATATTAAGAATTTGGGGCAGCTATATTAATATCTACGGTAAAAAATCTCCTAGAATTGTTACCTGTAGTATAATGATATACCTAATTCATATAGATTACATACACTGAGATAATACTTGAAGAATAGCCAGCTGTTCTCTCGTTTATTACCAATTTATTAACAATATGAGAAACAGAGACTGGTACCTAGATTTTTTTTGTAATTAAATAACAGAAAATAACTACCCCACATCTCAGCAGGGATCAGCTTTCCCAGGTAGGCAAATAGGAAACATGACCAGACAAGTTAATTCTTTGTTGTAAGGCTACATTAAGAGAATCTTGTAAGTATGATAGAACAAATCTTCTGTTTTCTCTTTTACATCCTGAGAATGTAAGAAGGTTCCTTTCCGAGTTTCTTTCTCTGCCCGTGATATAGATGTGGGCTCTGCCCTTTCTTATCTAATCATTCCCTAAGCAGCATCTCTCCGCTCCATCTCTCAATGTCATTACAGCAGGCCATGTTTCTGGTAAAAGAGACTTCCCTACAATAGCAGATTAATATTCTGTAGAAATCTACTGCATTTCCAGAACTATGATGAATCATGCTGAAAGTTAACTTGATACCCCCAGTACCACATTTCCTTTTTTTTCCCCCCCAAAGCGTAATTTACAGCAAACCCAGAAAAGTATGCAGGTTAGACTGCTTAGTCCAGGGATGTCAAACTCGTGACATGTCATCACATGACATATCACAACTTCTTCCCCTTTACTAAAAAGGGGGAGGGGGTGGCTAGCGCATGACACATCCAGCCCGCAGGCAGAAAGTTTGACACCCCTCTTAGTCTCTAATGCAGGACTTTCAAACCCGCATTGTCACAGCATCATCACGTGATGTAGGGACTTTTCCCTCCTTCGCTAAACCGGGTGGGAGCAGGACAAGCATGTAATGCAACCAGCCCGCAAGTTTGACACCCCTCCTCTAATTCTGAAATAATCAGAAAACCAAAGATCTTCAGGCCAGATAGGGAATTCGGGGGGGGGGGGGATCCCAAAGGTGGTGGTTGAAAACTAGATGGTGCCAAGGAAACTAGACAGATTAGAAAGGAATATGCAAACAATTATTTAAAGAGAGAAATATATAAACACTAATTATATATTAATGTTGCTTATTCTTTAAGAACTTACCATACATAGCAACAGATTTGGCCTCTTCTATTGACTGATGCTTGTCAGTTAACTGAGCTTTGTTTATGTTATGTTCATTTATTTCTTGTTCTAAACGTTGTTGTACCATTTTAAGTTTGTAGTTTAGATCTATTTCTAAGTTATTCTTCTCCTGCAAGATATTTTGTATAAAATGGTGTCAGATATACCAAATATGACAAGTATTCATATTTTATCATACATTCCGGTACCTTTCTTCTTCCTACATACCTTTTTGTTTGATGTACATCTACTGGATCCTCAGTATGTATCAGTAAAATGCCTGTGGAATTATGGGCAATAATATACTAACTTGAATGATAGTTTCTAAACCCTACCATGCATAGAGTGAAATGTGCTTGAGAGAAAAATTATGTGTTGGTTTTGCTTATGGCATATTAACCAAAATATGTCAAAGGGACCAGGATTACTCTTACTATTAATAGGTAATATTTCATTTGGCACAGATGTAATAGGTAAATTTCTTTAGATTGCTAAATAATAAAAACCATGGTGGATAGAAGAGGTCAACATGTATAGGATCACTGGGTGATGACTGTGTCATATGGAAAGCTATGGATTGAAATATAAGATGCATAAATGGTAAACAATATGAAAGAAAATGGGAAAAATGCATGGCTGTAAGACTGAGAGAAGAAAGATGAAATAGATCCAAATAAAAATGTTGCAGTCTGATCAACAGATGCAGAGAAGTAAGAAAATAGGTCCAATTTTGAATAAAAGAGCTAAAATATAGATCAGGAACTCCTTTGAAAAGAAGTAAAATGGCTGTAAGAGCCTGCTTCTGCCCACTTTAAATGAAAGTGAAGCTTAGGTATGTCAAGAAAAACATAACTTTAAATTGAATGTATTTAAAATGAGTTACTTAAAAAGAATACAGGTAGTCCTTGGGTTATGAGCATTCCCTTAGCAAACATTTGAAGTTACGTAATAAGCACCCCCTAGTGTTTATGAACTTGTCCCGAAACTACAAATGTTGCAGCACTATGGCAGTTGTTTACCCTTATGAACAATTGCAGAGGCTCTGGAATATTCGCCTGCCTATTCCGCTCCACTCTGCACTTTGCCAACTAAAACAGAGGCTCAGAGGGGTGGTTACACTTTATGGCAGCTACTCTCTTTCCTCTATACAATTGTAGACACAGTTGCTGCAATAAGGTGCAAGTAGGTACTATGTCCATTCCCGATATATTCCAACCATCTTTCCCACAAATCCAAAGTGTTACATGGCTTACCACTTAGTAATAATTATAATTTAGCAACAGGACTCAATTTGATTTCTGGTTCACCTTTCTTCCATTGTCTTACTGAATTTTATGTATTCCTATCATTTTCAAATGTACATTTACCTGTAGTTCTAAAAACATGAAGATATATTTTTTATTCTAAATACTCAATGATTCTACTCCAAGTTACATAAGACTTTGTGCCTCATTACTTAGTTACCTTACCTTTTCAGAATGATTAAGCATGTCTTGGGCCTTTTTTCTTTCTTCTTCCACTCGCTCAAGATTGTTTTTCACACCTTTGATTTCTTCTTGTAAAGATGTAATCCGAGCTATAGAATTAATTAAATATTTTTAACTGTATCTCTGACTTCAGATGGACAAAAATTGTTTATCTATATAAACACCTCACATATATCAAAGATAGTTCATTAAGAAAATAAAAATATACTGAAAATGTTAAATCTACGCTCTCAATTTTTATTAAAGTATTAATTAAACTGAAAATGTGCAAACATGTATTTTTATATGGGTATATAATATGCATATAAATATTGAAAATGAAGTATATGCAAGAAAAGCTAAGTGATCACATTTAATTAAAATGGCAGATGAAGAATAGTCAGATTTGCATTAAAATGCTAGTCTATTGATTTGAATAATTTATATTTATTAATGCAAATAGATTACATCCACAAATTTCCCAACAGATATGTAGAGTAGCACAAGTAAAAAAAAATTTAGAAAGTCATTACGTGACCTATATATTTCTCAGAAAATTATTTTAACCCACCATCTATTGTTCACTCTCAGTAAACAGTTAGTATTTATGATGAATACGTAATATCTGTGAAAAATAAAATCATAGGATTTAATTCTATGATTTAGGTTCTGTTCAAACACTGATTTTCTTAACTATTTGTTCTAGATAAAGAGAGCCAAGAGTATTTAAGGCAGGATAAGAGAGAAAGTATTTTATTCTCACATTCTGATCATTATTTGTAGAAATAATGTGAACATTCTTTTTATATTGTGGGATTCTAGGCAGTCTACAAAAATATAAATTAGATAAATCAAAATTATATAAAACTCAAACTATATAAGCCAGAAATGCTTCAAAGAAAGCTGAGGCTGCGTATTTTTTTCCAGCCAGAAACATATCTGAAATTGGGACAGTGGACGCAATCATAATCTTGCTTTAGAATCACAAACAAACATATTTTATCTAGTTTTACTATACATATTTTAAGCTAGATTCAAGGATGTTCTCTACCTTCCCATGAGGATCCACAATGCAAGGGATATAGTTTTGCTTTACAACAACACTTTGCAGGTGCTTTCAATTTTTTTTAAGTTGATAAAACATTTATTTATAAATGAGTAAGAACAATAAATTATGTTTAAATCAAGTACAGCTTTTCATATTATTATAGGAAGCTATAAAAAAATAATACCATTTGCTTGAATTTTTCCCCTTGGGATTTAAAACCACAGAGTTCTTTGGGGAAGTAGACTTTCATTCCTCAAACAAAAACATTACTAAAATTTCTCCTTTCCTCCTCCACCTTTCTACTTGTCCTACAGTTGATTTCTGTACTTCTAGGTGGCCACAATATAGTATAAAATCAAGTTGCAAGTTTCACAGCCACATGATTCTAATAGCATGTATCTTTTCTTTCAGGTTTGTCTCCACAGGCACATTTGAATGGATTCTACACATATCCAAAGGATTCTCTATTCTATTGTATTCTGCTATATTGTAACCAATTGCAACAATTCATGTCTAATATGTTAGTAACATAGGATGCATAGGATTGGCCTGCTAAATTCTTTTATACAGTGATGCCATTTCTATTTTGTTTTAACTTTCAATCCCCAATGTTTTATGTTTTAACCTTAGCCCTAGTTGTTTTATATTGTTATTTATGGCATTGTAAACTGCCCAGTCTCTTGAGGGCGAGATGGCATATAAATTTAACTAACTAACTAACATACATCTTATTTTCTAGATATGAAAACAAGGAATCAGATCATATTATTTGTCCATTATGCATTGAAATTCTGCAAAAAAAGAAGAAGAACATGTTTTGGAAATGGAACAGTTACTAAGAACAGTTAAATTCTTAGTTTTACATAAAGTATCCACTGTTTATACATATAAGAGCATTTATATTTATTTATCTACCATTCATAAATGTAATTCAGTCCAAAATTGCTATTTATATTCCAAGCTATCAGAAAAAAAACTTTACATTTTATAATTACACTATGGTAAAATTATTACCTTGTAGCTCTCCAATAATTTCTGATCCATGACTCCTATCTCTTCGTTCTACTTCCAGTGCTCCTTGTAGCTGGAAATAATCCTTTTCTACCTGTAATTTTGTGTTTTCCAGAATTCTGCATCTCTCCTGCAACTCCCTATTTAATGATTCAAATTGACTTATTGACTTGCTCACTTCTGTATGACTTTTCCTTAGTCTTGCTGCAGTATCTGACTCTGTTCTCAGCAAATCATTGGCTTCTTCAAGCTGTGTGAGCAATGGAGAAAAATAGAGGTTAGTCTAAAATGAGCATGGCTCATATCTACCCTAAAAAGAGAGATTTAGTTATAGTGCATTCAAAATGTATTCAGACCCCTTTCACTTTTGTTAACTGTTATTATGCAGCCTGATTCTATAGTAGTTGAAAATCATTTTTTTCTCATTAATCTACACTCACTACTCTATAATGACAAAGTGAACTGTTTATAAATTTATTGAAAATAAGAAAACTGAAATATTGGCATAAGTTTTCAAATCCCTTTCACTCGTAGTGCTTTGTTGAAGCATCTTTGGCAGCAGTTACAACCTTGAGTGTTTTTGAGTATGATGCAACAAGCTTGGCACACCTGGATTAGGAGATTTTCTGCCATTCTTCCTTGCAAATCCTCTCAAGTTTTGTCAGATTGGATGGTGACTGTCAGTGGACAGCCACTTTCAGGCTCCTCCAGAGATGTTCAATAGGGTTCAAGTCAGGGTTCTGGCTGGGCCACTCTAGAACATTCACAGAGTTGTCTCTAAATCACTTCTGTGTTGTCTTGATTGATCATTGTCATGTTGGAAAGTGAACCTTCAGCCCAGTCTGAGGTCTTGAGCACTGTGGAACAGGCTTTCATTGAGGATATCCCTGTACTTTGCTCCCTTCAGCTTTCCCTCAACCCTGACCAGCCTCCCAGTCCCTGCTGCTGAAACACTCCCAAAGCATGATGCTGCAACCATCATCCTTCACTGTTGGGATGACATTGGGAAGGCGATAGGTGATGCCTGGTTTCCTCCAGACATAATGTTTAGAACTGAGACCAAACAGTTCAATCTTGGTTTCATCAGACCAGAGAATCTTGTTCCTCACAGGATGAGAGTCCTTCAGGAGCTTTTCTGTAAACTCCAACTGGGTTTTCATGTGTTTTGCACTGAGGAGAGGACAGCATCTAGCCACTCTGCCATAAAGCCCAGATCAATGGAGGGCTGCAATGATGGTTGTCCTTCTATCTCATCTCCTCATAAGATTTCTGGAGCTCAGCCCATCAAGTTCTTGGTCACCTCTTTTACTTCTTAATGGTTGCTCAGTTTGCCTGGGCAACCAGCTCTTGGAAAAGTGCTGGTTGTATCAAACTTCTTCCATTTGCGAATTATGAAAGCCACTTTGTTCTTAAGAACCTTCAATGCAGCAGAAATTTTATTGTAGCCTTCCCCAGATCTGTGCCTTGCAATAATCCTGTCTCTGAACTCTTCAGGCCATTCCTTTGATCTCATGACTTTTGGTCTGCTACTATCCATTGTCAGCTGTGAGGTCTTCTATAGAGAGATGTGCGCCTTTTCAAACCATGTCGAATCAGTTTAATTTACCATAGGTTGACTCTAATCAAGGTGTAAAAACATGTCAGTAAAAATCAAGATAAATGGGAGGCACCTGAGCTAAATTTCAAGTGTTGTTGCAAAGGATCTGAATACTTATGCCAATGTGATATTTCAGGGTTTTTTTCTTTTTAGTAAATTTACAGACTTGATCACTTTATCATTATGGTGTAGTGAGTGTAGATTAATAAGTAAAAAATGAATTTCAACAACAGAATTTCAGAATTTCAACAACAAAAAAATGAATTTCAGACAACTCAATGTAACACATGGGACAAGATAAAACCATAATATAATAATAGAAGAACAAAACAGAGAAACAACTGTCTAGGAATAATTAAAATCATTAAAACAATCAAAACAAACTAGTAACTTCATAAAATCCTATGGTCCATGGTCTTATGAAAATAGAAACACATTAAACTGATGACAGAAAATGACCTAGTAATCTATCGAGTCTGCCCTTTCAGTTTTTTGTTTTTTTTAAATAGTCAGACAATGGACATATGTTTATTCCAAGCATGTTTAAACTCAGTTACTGATGATTGATTCACTACCTCTGCTGGAAGTTGGCTCCAAGCTTTCACTACTATTTCTAAATCTTTAGGGCTTTCGTGAAGGGCAGCAGTATGCAAACCAGAAGGAATTACTATATGCAAAATTACTTACTTGCTTTTGCAATTGTGTAATTTTTTCATTTGTAATATGTGAATGTTGACTAATTTTTTTTAAATCTTCCAGCTGATCTTTTAATGTTGACACTAAAAGCAAAGAAAAACATTTTAAACATACATTTTAATAATATTTCTAGGTAAATTGCAGAAATAAAATGTTCAAAATTCAAAAACTTCAATTTTATTTAAAAACAACGGCAATATTTTCATTCATATCATCTATTGATGATTATGGCCTGAGGAAAGAACAAAGGATTCTGCAAGTGAAATGTTAGTCTAAAGAATCGTGTCATCACGATTCCTGGACCAGGATATATCATCTACTAAAAGGCTTTTGTAAAAGATACACTTTACCTCAAAAAGATTGAGAAAAATGTTTTTTCAAAGACATCTTACTCAGGTCATCTGGCAGACTTTAAATTAACCATGGAGGGGTAAAAGACCAATACCGAGAACTACACTCAAGTAAGCCTTGACTTCCGGCTGATGGCGAGATCGGACATGAGGAGCGGGTCTCCGTACTCCCATGCCAAGTTCTCCCCGTTAGAGGGCTTCAAAAGGAGCTAAAGCCACCCTGGAGGAGTGGTGAGGAAAAGAGGGGTGCCCTGCAGGTCCTGGAGAGTCACAATCTCTCCCGCTTGATTCAGGGCTTTCTTCCCTCTTCCTTGGCAGACAAAAATGTCTGCCATGAAGCTGGACTGCTGAGGCAACAAAGAAAATGCAGGAGTGCTGTAAATGAACAGTGACTGGAATTGGGTGAGATGATTCCTTTTTTTTACCTAAAACCTAAACCTAAAATAAAAGAGGGGGAAAGGGGAAATCCAGAAGAGACTCTTAAACTATTTGTTAAAGTGGCGAATAACTACATAGAGAAAAACTACAGACCCGAAAGAAAGAAACTAAGAGGGAAAAAGTTAAAAATTCCAAAGCACAGAAAATTAGATGGTTAAATTGGACAGGCGTTATTTTGGAAAGGCATTTCAAAATGCTAGATCTATTTACTTTAATAATTGACTTTGCTTTTATAAATTGAATTAAAATTGGATTAAATTCCTGTTAGAACTGAGACAACACTGAAACCTAAGCTGACAGCATCATCTACTGACAAATGAAAATATACCATACTCTATAAGCCTGGAAAATTTTAGATAAGAAAAATAAACAACATTTATTTGGAGAACTGTGGTGATACTTACTGTTCTATACTTATCTACTCTATGATTATGGGAGGTTCAACTGTGAGAACAAGGAAGATACCTAAGTAAAGCAACATTTAAATACTAAGATATATGACTAAACCTATAGAGGGGATATAAGGAGATATTTGGAGAGCTTCCTGGACTACTTGAACATCTGATTGAATAATCCTGGGATACAAAAGAACTGTAACTATTGTATTCTTTGAGGAACAACATTAGACCTGAATATATGGTCTTTGGATTATTAAGTAAAAGTTGACTTTATCGAAATAAGACGAGATGCTCCACATGGAGGAAATGAATGGAAGTTCAAAAGAAATATTGTTGATGTTTCAAAGCATTAAGGATACTATGACTTTAGGGACATAAACAAGCTAATGCAAAGCATAGATGGGAAAATAGAAAATATTTTACAAGGGACAATGAATAAAGATCAAGATGTCCAAGAAAGGGAGGAGACAAGAGAAAGAATGGAGGAAAAGATAGAACAGAAGGGTTCAAATGACTGTAACCCAATGTGTTGTGGTCTGCCAGCAGCCTACGAAGCTCGCAGCAGAAGAGATTGGGGAGGAACATGGGCCAGTCCTGGAGTCTGGGAAAGGACAGAGGGCAGAGAGGGACCCAGGGCATCTGGGTTATGTGCTCCCCCCCCCAGAGCTTCCAGAGTCAGACAGCAGTGAGGCAGAGGAGCAGCTTCCCCTGTTCCAAGTGTGCACATATGCAGAGCTGCCAGAAGGCAAGAACAGTTAAAATAGAAGGGACGACTCGGGAGTAAGGTTTGAGAGTGATTGTTCTCTCCCATAGGACATAAAGGAGGAGCAAAGGCCCATGAGCCTTTGCAGGAAGCAACGTGGTTCATGCTGGTCAGTTTACCTTCTAAAATTCCATTTGGACTCTTTGCTCCGTGTGGCCTTGGCAGTGTTTTCAAAGAAGATAAAGGTGGGTGCTTATCAGCCTTATTCTGAAGAACTTTGGCAGCCTCCTATAGAACTCTTTCCAACTATTTGGGACTTATTACTGGCTGCGAATGAATATAATTCACAGCCTTTGAAATAAAAATAAGGTTTTTGGCCCTAATCATGTGCTTTTTATTGTATCAGGAAGCCTAGGTCAGAACACAACGCTTAGAGAATGGGGAAGAAAATAGAGAACATGAAATCTCAGTACAGGGTAGAAATGGGAGGGTATGACATCATTGATACTGCAGAACTTTGGTGGGAGGGAATCCAAGATTGGGGTATGTACATGTATCCCTTGACTTACAGCAATTCATTTGATGACTGTTTGAAGTTATAACAGCACTGAAAAAGTGACATGACCATTTTTCACACTTAGAACCACATCAGCATCTTAATGGTCACATGATCAAAATTTGGATGCTTGGCAACAACTGGTATGTATTCATGATGGTTACAGTATCTCGAGGTCACATTTATCTCCTTCTGCAACCTTTTGATAAGCAAAGTCAATGGGGAAGCCATATTCACTTTATAATTGTGTTACTAACTTAAGAACTGAAGTGATCCAATTAACAAGAGTAGCAAGGACATAAAATAGAGCAAAACTCACTAAACAAGCACTTAACAATAGAAATTTTGGGCTCAATTGTGGTCGTAAGTCAAGGACTACCAGTCCTTGTCTAAGAAAAGAAATGTGGATGTATTATATATCAGTCATGACTATATAATATGGAAATTTATGACAGTGAAAGAGTCTACCCTGGACAGGATATTGGACTAGAATACCTCCAAAGTCTTGGTTATAGTATGAAAAGTTTTCTTACTCTAATAAACAAAAATAAAAATACAGCTTACCTTCATTTTCTGCATTTCGACGTTTTTCATTCTCCTGTTCAGCTTTTCTTTGATATTCACTAATTCTATGTTGCAAGAGCATCTTTTCCTTCTCTACTTGAGTAACTGTTGATTCCAAATTTTTTCTCTGATTTCCCTGTAAGTTATAATATTTTAGAAATAAAGCTCTACAGCTAAGCACTCATCTGCATGTTTACAATATAGAACTGCAATTATTTTAATCAAAAGATTCTTACAATAAATAAAATACAATGAAATACATTTACTACTTTAAATTATAATAAACTGATATATAAGCAATTGAATGTTAGTTTTTATATAATAACTATGTACACTTTGAAAATGGATCAAAAAAGAGTTCTGAAGGGCGATTAGAAATGTAAATGCTACAATAGGTATCTTAAGCCTAAGCTGGCGTCCCCTTGGGTATATCCAGCCGAAACAGCTTCCATGGATCGCCGTAACAGTGGCGTCAAATTTCCATGGAAGTCGCCTATACCCACGATGGGTGAAGAGGCGTCAAGTAAAAGTACAAGTTAAGCCTGAATAAGGCTTAAAGTACCCAATTTGCACCTTAAAATCCATCAAAATCCACAAATGAAATGTTGGCTCTCACATTCTGGGAGCTGTGAGAATCATACCCAATATTCCATCATGTTGAAAATAGCTTTTTCCCTCGCAGTACTAACTTACTGTTAATTACATTTTGTTTAAAATAAAACATCTTTAAACCAGCACTTAGAAAACTTTTAAAACTAGCTATTTCCATACATGTTTATTAAACAGCAGAAAATCTGTGACTGAAGCATTAGATTTGATTATGAAGGATAAGAGGGAAGTTGAATATGCAACCTTAGGAAAATCAAGGCCTATTTGTGTCTTGATAATTTAGGCTGATATGTTTTTGCGTAAGGCTCCCCAACCCCCAAGCCATGGAACCAGGCTACACAAGCGGTGGGTGAGCAAGTGAATCTTTATCTGGCCACGCATAAGATCTAGGTTGTTTGCGAAACCATTACCCCTGCTCGGTCCATGGAAGACAATTTTTATTCCGAAACCAGTCCCTGGTGCCAGACTAGTGGAGGATCACTGTATTGGCAATCTCTTCTCATCTATTCTAAGTATAATGTAAAATTGCATAAATTTCTAACAAAATCAATAAGTAAAACTAATAATTCAAACACTTACCTCTTCATCTAGTTCCTTCATTATCTTGTCTAGTTTAATATTTGATGTCCTATAAAGAATATGAGAGCTGAATTTTATTTACTGCCTCTAAAACAAAATATTTCATATCTGGCTGATCAATATAGCCTAAACATCAAATACATATCAAACCATTAAAATTTGAATATCAAAAATGCTAATGGAACCAAAATTCCACAAACTTCCTTTTAATATCCTTCTTAATATCAGTAGGTAAGTGTCTGTGCTATTATAAGCAATTTTTATAATATTGTTTTCAAAATTATTGCTCTTAAATAGATCTAAAGTCAATAATTCCTCTGGGAACAAGAAATGACAAAAATAAAATCTGTAGTTTAGCAAATTCCTCACAGCTGTTGTATATTTACGGACATACATGAACATGTTGAATGCTATTATTACATCAAGTGATATTTCATTAAATTATGTTTTGACATTCTGAAAAAAATAATATATATTACCTGAATTTTTGTTCCATTTCATCTTTTAGCTGCATTTCATTATGTAGCTGTTCTTCAAGTTGATAAATATTTTTTTGTAAAGATTCTAGCTATAAGTACAAAATACAAAATGAATTATAAATGTTATACTTTTTATAGAACTAGTTAAATATGTAATGCACAACATTTTTGGAATGGTTTTCTGATACTTGTATGTTAAAAAGTCTTGGTAAAGGACAAACAGATCTAATTTATTTTCCAAAGCACAAAGTGCAGGTTAGTACTGATTCTAATGAAAAGAAGGGGAGGGGGGCTTCAAACCTTGACTTTAGAATATGTCAAAATAATGATTTTTTTCTACCAATACTCTTGAAAACGTGAAAAGAGAAATGTGAAGTTTCATTCATTCTTCTCCAACCAGATAATTTATGATCTTAGCAGCACTGGGACTGGACACAAAAAGGAACAGAGACATTGCCTCTGATTAAAGGGCTTGTGACTGAGCAATGTCAGCTTTAATAATGCCTTTAAACACATAAAAAAGTCCATTTAACATTTTATGCACCCATAAAATATTTAAAAGAGCTAAAGCCAAGGTTATCCAACAATGCTGATAATGAAGGTCACTTTTATTTGTATGTTTAAGATTTTATTCTTAAACATTTTATTCTTAAACATTCAACTGTTTTGAGTACAGACACTTATTTGAAAAATATTACTGGAAAAAATAATAAATGTTCAAATGATGTAGTGTCAAGTACAAATAAGAAGCAGAAAATAAAATAGTTCTTGGATGCAGTTATTTTAATGAATATTTGAAGTTTGGTTTCTTCAATGCAGGAAAAGATAATCAGTTGTTATTGTGAACTCCAGCACTATCCAAAGAGTGCATGAAACTACTCCAATTGCATTTTAATACTCACAGAGAAACAATGGTTGGAAAAACAACAACTTCATTTTTGAATTTTACTTTACATATGTTGGTTTGAACTTCATACATTATTTAAAATTTGTGTCTTTTAAATTCCATTATTTTTATTGTTTAAGAAACAGATAGTGAACATAAGAACCTCTTACTACACTCATCAATTTGATGGCTGCCAAAGGAAATACTAGTATTTTGAAATGAAAGCTGGACATTTTATTTGTGAAGTCAACATTCACCAACAGCAAATTAGTTAGTTTTATAAATGGTTAACAATAGTGGCTTACATAAAAACAAATTTGATTTTTTAAATAAAATCAATCTGGATTTCCAAGAGATTAAAATTAATGCTTTCAAAATTCAAGAAAAAGTAGAATTAACAATTTTATTTAAGGATTTAGCAAGTTAGCATTTTAAATCTTTTTATATTTTAAGTACATTCCTAAAGTAATATAGTGAAACTCTTATTTCAGCAGTGATTTCTACAGCAATCTGATAGGACTAACATGAGGCTAAAATGGGTATTTTTCTCTAGCTAACACAATTAAATGTGAACTAAGAATCATTTAGAGATAATGCCAAAAATGAAAACAATGTAACATCAAAAACAAATTCATTAATTGAAATTTTCTATAATTCTTCATTAAGAAGATGACAGAAGTATAAATTCCATTGGATGTTTTGGGTTGAATTATAAAAATGAATATTTATATTTAATTTTTTAAGAAGTCATTTTACTGCTTTTCGTTAGAACATGTGAGAACACATTAGAACACAATTAGAATTGTGAAGTTAGTATCTTAAACTATGTAAAGAAATAGATTGAAAATAAAATTGTCTTTTGGCCCTGGCATAACGAAGCTAGGGATGCAAAACATCAAATTTTGATTTTTTTTCCCTATTATTTATTTAAAATACATAAAACACCCAAAGTTTGTGTTTTTCTTATTTTTAAAATATACAATTATATTTTGGAGCTGCAAAAATGGTATTAAATGCTGTGCTTAACTACTTATATATGTATATGGAAAATATTACTTTATTCAACAGAGTAATAAACTTTATTCAATATATTTCAATTTATGGTAAGGAAATGTATTTTAGTTTAGCCAAATTATAATATTTATGTAAAAAGTAAAATTTAACACAATTTAAGTACCAATTTAACATGTAAATAAATTTCATTTTTATTGTTTGTCTTATTATATAATTATATCTAATTTAAAATAGGACATTTCTCACAACATAAACAAATTGTAGAATACATTTAATCAATGACAAAATATTTTTTTAAAAAAATTAAATGTACCACGTTTTTATCTATGTTGGTGCTTGTTCTGTTGTCATTCGAATTAGCTGTGCAGGTGGATAAATACCTACAAACACAATTTTAGAAGTTTTAGAAAGACACAAAAAGAAATATAAATATTTATTCTCAAAAAACAGAACATCCTTAATAAAAACATTGCCTTTGTTTTTCCAAAGCTTAAAAAAACTATAGAATTCTATATACTATGAAGCTTAGAAGATTCTATACTAGACAATTAACTATGCAAAGACTGTCAGCAATCAATTAAAATGTCTCTATGTCCAATAATATTATTATACCAATCATAAAGTCTTCTTGGTAGCTGTGTGTATGTGAGTGTATGTGTAAGGTGACCAGACGTCCCGCTTCTCACGGGACAGTCATGATTTTTCACAATTTGTCCTGCGTCCCACATTTTTAAAAAGTCCCGATTTTCATGGGTGAGTGGATGAAAGGGCATCGGCAGTGCAGCTAGGAGGAAAGAGCAAGGTGGGGCCTGAGGGAAGCCGGAGGGAGGGGGCTCGGAGGAAGGGGGAGCCAAGATGGCGGTGGCTGAGGAGGTCTCACGGCCACCGCTGCCACTGACGCCGCCAAGGAATTGCAGGATGATATTGGCTGTGCGCCGGGAGGGTGGCCTGCGGGGCTGGAGGCTGCGTGGCGGCAGCACGCTGCCGAGCACTAAAAGGAGTCGCGGGGCGGGCTGGCTGAGCAGCCTCGCGTACGCAGCTCGCCTCGCCATCTGATGGAGGCTGCCCTGCTGCTGGCGCTGCTGTGCCTCTGCTCCACCGCGAAGATGCCACCACCACCCCCGCCGGCTCTTCCTGCCCAGACACCCTGAGCCCAGGAGTGGCCTGAAGCCCTCCTGCCCACCACCGGCTGCACCGTGGCCGACTCGCCCCGGGCGGGCTGGAAGGCTTCGGGCGTCCGGACGGGAAGAGCCGGCGAGCGGATGGTGGTGGCATCGCTGCCCTGGAGCCGCCAGAAGCCTTCCTGCCCAACACCTACTCTCCCTGGACTTGTTTTGATGAGCGCAGGCGACTGACGGTAGTTTGCGCCGGCCGCGCCCGCTCAAACTATCATCAGCTCCCCCGTGTTAAAATCTGGCCACCTTATCGTAATCTTGAGGCTCGGTGTGAAAGGGCCGAACGCGGAGGAAAGGAAGGCGCGTCGGGCATCCAGATCGCAGCGAGGAGAAAGAGGAGGAAGGGGAGGAAAAAGGTGAGGGTGGAGGGAAGCAGGCAGAAGCAGCCACAGCAGCAACAACCATGCTGCCCGGGGTGGGCGTGTTCGGCACCAGCCTGACCGCCTGGGTCATCATCCCACTTCTAAAGGATGAGGGCTTCGTGGTCAAGGCGCTCTGGGGAAGGAAGAGGCAGAAGAACTGGCCAAGGAGATGAGCGTCCCCTTGTACACCAGCCAGATAGACGATAGACGAGGATGTGGATTTGGTCTGCATCAACCTGCCGCCTCCCCTCACCAGGCAGATCGCGGTGAAAACTCTGGGTGAGTCTCCGCGGAGAGCTTGGTGGGCAGCTGGCTGGACTTACAAGAGGTGGTGGGAGAAGGAGGCCGTGGAAAAAGTGGCAGCGCCTTGAAATGAAAAAAGGCCTCCCTTCAAGGAATCCGGCGTTTTTTGTTTTTTTTTAAATCCCGATCAACCCGATCGCTCCGGCTCTTCCCGCCTGGACGCCCACCGCCCAGGAGCCACCCGAAGCCTTCCAAGGTGTGGGGGGGAGAAGGAGGGAGAAGGAGGCCATGGAAGAAGCTGCAGCGCCTTGAAATAGAAAAAGGCCTGCTCCCCCAATTTTAAAATCTGGTCACTTTATGTATGTGTGTTGTTTCTCTGCCATTATTTAGATTAGAACTATACTACATTCACCATGTAACATTCAAAAGACAAAAGCTCTCTTCCATTGTTGTTTTTCAATTTATTTATTTATAATTTCCCTGTACTGTGCAGGGAACTGAAACATTTTATATCAGTCACAATATCCTGGTTTAAAGTAATATATTGAAGAGGTTACTATTACCGTGACCCATCAAAACCGCAGTCCACTAAAGCACGCCCGATCAAAGCGCGTACGTGACGTCATCAGCAGCGCGACAAATAAAATTAAAAATTAATTAAATTAAAATTAAAATAAAATTAAAGCAAGCCGATTCACATAAAGGTAAGGGTTAGGTTTAGGTTTAGGGTTAGGTTAAGGGTTAGCGTTAGGTTTAGCGTTAGATTAAGGGTTAGGTTTAGGGTTAGGTCAAGGGTTAGGCTTAGGGTTAGGTTTGGGGGGGTTAAGGTAAGGTTTTCGCGTTAATTTTAAATTTACCGCTCACAGCGTGCCGTTTTCGTAGCGCTGTGATGACGTCACGTACGGCTTTCAGCGAGCGCGCTTTAGTTTACCGCGGATTTGTGGTGGAACCACTATTACAGATAACGTATGATTGAGCTGTTTCTAAAAATCATACTATTGATTTTATAGTAATATATTCATGTTTTTATATACTTATTTGTGAACCTGGGAAATGTGTTGTCCTCATGTTTCTTAAAACATATAAAACTCTATATTGTTGCATAATTTCAGGAAAAAATACAGGTGCTTTAGAGTACAGACAGTGCTACATATGTGTCCCAAAGTATTCTTCTGAAGTGAATCAAGAGATCATTCCAGCATTACTAAAAACATGCAACTTGATTTACCAAATAAGCAGATACCTTCTTTCATTTTTTTCTTCCCTTATTAGATTTTGTTGCATTTACCAAACATAAATTTAATCCCTGTAGGTGTTTTTTAGACTGCAATATAAGGGCAACTATTACCTGAATATTCTCGCTTATTTAATTGAAAATACACATAAAGCAAAATGCAGTCAGGTTACCTGAAGTGAAAATAATCTCTAAGGAATTGATAATAACCCTCTAAATTAAAGACAGCTGCAATATGGTTAATAATATTTCCAGTAACAATATGCTTACACAAGGCAATTTTTAATGACTGCAATAATAATTAAGTTATATTTGCTATATTCCTGTTATAAATATACTCATGACTTTTACTGACAAGCCAATATATGAAATCTACATATACTTACTGATGATTACTATAATATGTAAATCCTACAAAAGGTAGCTGGTTGCCAACGAAAGCTTTTGGTATAGGAAATGTTTCTTCTTCACCTTTGTCTTCCTCCAGATCATCAAAGTTACTAGTGTCAATATCACTACTTAAATCAGGCACAACAGGTGCTACAGCTACCCCAACCCCCCCAAAAGAGCAAAGATTAATAACTGTATAAAAATGTGTATATGAACATGTATAAATGGAATGAAGATGATACGAAAAAGTGAACTTGTTTTACAAGATCATACAATTCTGAAATCTTTATTATATTTTGAGCAGCATGTGCATAAATCCCCCAGAAACTTAAAAACTTTCAAAAATTATGTAACATTAAAAGGCACAAACTGTTCCACAAACTGCTGGTCTGAGTGTTTCAATTCTGCCAAATATTTCTAATATTTTAGATATTAGCTGGGACAGGAGAACTATTATAAACTGATTTATCAAAGCAGTTGTTTCCATATATAATAGTGGTATTTTCTATAAAACAGAAGATTTTACTACTGTTTTATTAATTAAAAAGTAAAAGTAAATTATAGATGTCATATATAAAATAGTCGCAAGTACTCATTTTGTCCCATTATCTCAAAATACTAAAAGTTTCCACTATAATTATAATACTGCAATGTACCACATAATCTTTGGGATAATAGAAAATCAAAGGAAAAACTCAGAATGGTTCAAATTGTTTAGTAATTATTGTTAATTAAAAATCAAATCAGTTATGAACTTGATAAGTTGATTTAATATTAACCACTAGGTTAGAAATATTTATCCTGAATCAAGTGTTTCAGATGTATTCTATGTTTAATAAATAAAAGATATTTATATTTTTTGTATATTTTAAAGCAAGGGGCCCCCAACCTCCAAACCGTGGATGGGCACCGATCTGTGGCATGCGAGTAACCGAGCCACGCAAATAAGTGAAACCCCATCTGCCGGATGCAAGCAGCATGCAAAACCACGCCCCTCTGGTCTGGGGAAATACCTTTCTCCACGGAACCGGTCCCTGGTGCCCAAAATGTTTGGGGCCACTGTTTAAAGAACTGCACAACAAATTTTAGATGGCCAGCTCAGCTAAGGTTATGATTCCTCAATAGCAGTCCACAATACCCCATATCACTTTACCCCATAAGTCTCTCTTTGAGATGGAGATGGAGGTTCAGAAATATGATAAACAGACAAACAAACAAATATTTGGAAACCATATTTAGAAATTGAAGGGGGAGGAAAACAAAAGGTATGTAAGATCTCATTGGATGTACATAAACTTTCTAGAATGAAACAGTGTGAACCTTGTGAATGTTGTGTGAACCATGGCCTTTTGAATAAGCAGGTCAGCAATTGTTTGTAATGTAGAACATTATAGTCCTTCAACATTTAGAAAGAAAATATGACACATGAAAATTATATTACAATAAAAGAAGATTTTATACAATAAATTACTTACTGTCTCTAAGGTTTTCCCAAGACCACTGATCATTTTTGAAAAATGGATGTCGCTTGATTTCTTCCACACCATTTCTTCCTAATCTAACCTCCCTGTATGTGAAATAATTTTAAAATTATACTGCACATGCTGCATACAAGTGAAAATAATTTGTAAACAAATGAAATGTTAACTCAAAGCCCATTTTAAAGCAAAGAGATAATTTATTTCAACATTAGCAGTTTCTTTGCTGTAAATATGGAATGGAAACGCTTCCCCCATTCTCAGTAGTAAAAAGCATGTTTGCTGTCTGAAACATTTATTTGATACTACAGGAATTGCAAATGCTTATATAGAATTATACAAATCCTCCACAAACTTTTTATCTGACTTTAGTCAAAACAATTTTTCCAAGTAATGAGTAATCATTACATCATTACTTGTATCTGCATTTGGCTGAACACGTCATAGCTATAAAACATTTTTTCCAAATCTTTCAAATTATTAGAAACATTTTGCTGTATTTTAAGAATCAGGGCAGGGGTTAAAGTTTGGGGAGGGCAGAAAAATAAGTAACAATGCTCCAGGTCTAAAGTACAAATGCTCAAGACAAGAATTCCAGAGGAAAAATCATTTAAGATCTTGCACAGAAAGCTGAACAACCTGTAGAATAACAATAATAAAGTAACTGTAGTAATTTACCATATATTTTGGACTATACGACGCACCGGTGTATAAGACATACCAAGATTTCGAAGAGGTAAGAAAGAAAAAAAGTTTTTGTCCTCCCTAGCACCCAGGAGCACTCTGTAGGTTTCAGCAGGGCTGGGGAAACGGGCATTTTTGCCTTCCCCAGCCCTGCTGAAGCCTGCAGAGTGCTACTGGGGGATGGGGGAAGGCAGAAATGCCTTAACCTTTGCAAAAAATGGCCCGTTTTTCACAAAAATTGGATGCAGGGGCGGGGCTTCAGGAAGCCAAAAATGGCTGTTTTCGGTGTATAAGATGCACCAACATTTCCATGCTCTTTGGGGGGGAAGGTGCATCTTATACTCCAAAAAATATGGTAATTATGATTTGTTTTAAAACAATACACCCGGTTTGAAGTTCATTTGTTGCTAATATGATGTGATTATGATTTAGTTAATACATGAAGAACAATTCATAGTTTGTTATTAAACTATTTTATTATACTCAAAACTTTATCCAATCCACAGAAATAACAAACAAGTTACAAAATAAGAAACAAAATAAGAAATAGCATTGACTTCAATGTCTTCAAAACTTGTGGTCAAAACAATTTTTGATATATTACAGGAGCATAGCCTATATTTTATAAGATGATGAATAATTCTCATTAAAAGAATTCATTTAATCATTTAATTTTTAAGTTTCTTTAAAAAATAATTACAAGTATTTAGAAATACTTTTCTCACAATATAATTCTAAATATATTACCTGTCTGTTAGAAAGCCACAAATAAGATTTTTTGCATCTTTAGAAATATCATTATCATCAGGGAAACTAAGAGAATTCTTATGGTTCATAATTTTACTATATGTTCCAACCAAAGAATCTGCATAAAAAGGTGTATCCCCTAAAACAAGAAAGAAAAAAATGTAAATCACACAACTGATTGTTAAAATAATAAAATAAGATACCTACATTGCACAACTTGGCAACATTTCAGTATTATTCAGCCAGAAAAAGTCATTTTTAATGCTTATTTTAAGAGCTCATAATAGCATTGTCATATCAAAATCACAAAAAGAAAAGATATTCTGCAATTGTGTATTTCCCAAGATTACCTCATGACCACTTCTCTAGAAATCATTTAAGTATTATCATTCTAAGAAACTGGGGTAACAGATGTAGTGGGAAAAAATGAGGAAGATAAGGGTGACACACAGATAAAATAGATGATTCAAATACTAAGTTTTTCTTTAAAGGTAGATAGGTAATATTTAAAAAATTGGCTTTGAAATCTCTTCTAATAGAAGCATCTTTTAGCTGCTCATAAGGGACTGCAGATGGTATAATTTCAACAATTACAGATGAATAAACAGCAAATGAAATTCAACAGTCACAGAATTTTTGGAAAAAAAGAGACAATAGCATCACAGAACTCAATGAGATTTGATTAAAATAATCTTATTAGGACTGGTCTCTATTGTCATACACAGAATTTAAAATTATTATTAATGACAATAAAAACAAGATAGTTTATTTTGTAATGTAATTAATTTACACAATATTTTTCTGATACTCACCCACAAGCATTTCATACAAAAAAACACCAACTGACCACCAGTCACATTCTCGTCCATAATAACCATCACCACCCTGTGATTTTAAAACTTCTGGGGATATATAATCTGGAGTTCCAACAGCTGTATCGCATCGTACCATACCTTCCTATAAAAAAGCAAAGATTGTTTTAAAGTATATGAAGCAAGTTGATTTCTTAGATCTGTTTGGAAAATAAAATTTAAAATTAAGTATGAACTCCAGTTAAAATTCTTAATTTAAACGAACATTGATATCTGTTTTTCAGAGTACCATTTTTCTTTACGCTAAAAGCTATTTAGTAGTTTTTATCTACTAACCTTATTCATTTTCATACAGGTACCAAAATCTGCTAGTTTTAAATGACCAGATTTGTCCAGCAGCATATTATCAGGCTTTACATCTCTGAAAACAGTAAAAGAAATATTATCAGACCAACTTTTATTTATTAAACAAAAACATCACTGAGCCTCATCACAAATGAACAACACAAATAAACAATGGCTAGGAAAATGAGTGAATACTGAATTACATTTCTTTTCCTTTCTGAAACAAATTCTCCTTTAATTGTGATGTACATTTTATACTTACATCAATTCAGTTTATTTTTCCATTTTGTACAGTATTATGCCAGAAATTCCACAAGGTTAATAAAAAAATCTTTCACACCATCTATTTATTGATCCTTTTAAAAGTTCACTGCCATAATAACTGACCAGTAATGTGTGCACAGTATAGTAAAGTACAAAAACATCAGTACAATTAAAGGGGGGGAAAGAGCTGGCATGTATTAGAGTAGATTCCCAGAGTACATTTCCCTTTTTGTAATTGTTGAACACGTAATTGCTTTGTGTACATAAATGAAAACTGTTCCATAGTAAGGCACTAAGATTTTGATTTTGAAAGGGAGCACAGTGGATATGAATTCAATTGGTTAAATATGCAACTTTACACTACCTTTTCAGCTAACCCAAATCATGCAACAGATGGCACTGCAAATGTCTGTAAATGTAGGATGATTGCCTATTGTCAAAAATGGTCATGTGACCATGAGGAGCAGAGAACTGGATATGAGAGAATCTCAAAACCGGGTCATAAATCACACATTTGGGGTCAATTGTAGCTCTGAACAATCACTAAACACCTCATTGCTGTAAGTTGAGAACAACCTGTGCATGTTTTCATTATTTTGGGTGATTTGTGTGTGCCCATAATTGAACCCTGTTTCCTGGCTGATTCATTTATACATTAGTATTTTGTAATTGTATTGTTTGCCATCTATTTCAATCCCAGTTCAGTCTTCATGTTGAAATATAAAGCTCTGTTCCTCTAAAACACTACTTTCAGATGTATGAAATATGAGTAATTCCCAAGTCACCATAGCCCTGACTGAGAATTTTGAGCTGAAATTTCTATATCTGAAAATTGTCAAGGTTGGGAATCACTGCTCTGAAAGGAAATCTCCTTTCTAATATATGTGCCCAGATGACAGTAACCATGCACCAAGTCCTCATCTATACCACTAGAATGGAAAACGGCTTCTCAGTTGCAGGCCATCAGCTGTGGAAACCCGTCCTCAGGGAACAATCTGGAATCTATATTAATAGGTTTTTAACAAGTGACTAATTATTTTATTAAGCATATTTATAGTTGGTTTATTTTAGATGTGTATGTTATATTAAGATAATAACTTCTATTCATTTTTTCACCATTGTTTTTTGAATTATTAAAGTATTTGATTTATTTTGTTTGCCTAAGCAAATTTGTAACCCATCAATATGAATATAGTTATTAGGCAGATTAAAAGTATAAATTAAATAAAGATAATCTGTTTATCTGTACTCTCTATAATGCTAAAATAATCTAATTTTGTCTTTTTCTAGACATACTATCTTCATGTTTTGTGGAATATAATTTACTTAATTTTATAATAGTTAACCAGTATATGAGAAATAGCAATCTATTAAAAGTTGAACATTATGCATATACTATTAACTTTTATTTGTAACAGTGTCATTTCACTACTCACTGACTATAATAAAGTAATTGTAATTACAATAAATGGAGATACAAAGTCATGATTTTGACATAATGCTTTTGACATTCAATAAATTATTGGTTAATGTCATTTAAATGATTTGCCCCAAGAACACATTTATACAATGCTTATGCAAGCAAGTGTAACAAAGTTATACCTAATCAATAATGGTTTGGATTTGATGTATTTTTATAAGCTGAAGCTATTGGAAAGGGGTATCCCAACTGCAAATTCCTATTGTCACATGGGACAAGAATGTAATGGGACACAAAAATCTTTTGCCCTAATTCCAAAAGAACGATTTTGCAATTTATCCTTGTCCATGAGAGAAACAGAGGACTGAATATGAAACAGAAAAAATCCTTTACATGCACTTGCCTTCTCTTCATGCAACTAGGTTCAAACCCAGTGTGGGATGATATGAAGTTAATCAGACAACTATTTCATCATAAACCTCAAAATAAAGTTTATAAATTACATACAGTAAGTCTCGTTCTTTTTTCAAATGTATTGCAGAAAGGATGAAACAATTTAATTATGTGCTGATTGCCTCAAATCTGCTCAAGGTTGACATTGTAAATCGTATAGTAGTATTATAAATTAAAATTTCAAAATATTATGTTTAATACAATTTAAATGTTGAGAATATGCGCTATATAAAAGATACTTACCTGTGAATAAAACCCATGGAGTGAATAGCATCTAATGCAAGAACAACTTCTGCTGTATAAAATCTTGCCCATTTTTCAGGGACATCGTAGTTGCTCATTAAATTTACCAGATCCCCACCAGGCATATATTCCATCACCATATAAAGGTAACGATCATCTTGGAATGCATAAAACAACTATGAAAGATAATAGACTAGAATCACTGAGTGCTGCATTCCTATCAACTGCTATTTTCTTTTTGAAAAATGAAGTTACAGGTAAATGTTGAGTTTATATTTATAATATATCAACTGATAAAAAACTAATATAGATATATAGTCCTCGACTTAGAACCACAATTGATCCCAAAATTTCCATTGCTAAGCAAGATATTTGTTAAGTGAATTTTCCCCCATTTTACAACATTTCTTGCCACAGTTAAGTAAATCACTGCAGTTGTGAAGTTAGTAATATCATTGTGAAGTGACTCTAGTTTCACCATTGACTTGACTTGTAAGAAAGTTTGAACAGTATGATCACATAACACTGGGACACTGCAATAATCATAAAGGCATGCCAGTTGGCAAGGGTCCGAATTATGGTCACATGATCATGGGCATACTGCAATAATTAAAGTGTGAAAAACTGTAATGTTTCTTTTTTCAGTGCCGTTGTAACTTCAAATGGCTATTAAACAAATGGTTATAAGTCAAGAACTATGTGTGTTTGTGTGTGTGTGTGTGCACATGTAGGCAAGAACTGGATTTCGCTATCACATAATAAGCTTGCTATAGGGAAGTAGAGATACTCCACTACAGTCTACATTCAGGTAATTGTATCATTCACATGCAACTTATTAACACTTTCCTTTACACAGATTGCAATTTTAACCAGGAAAGTCCATAATTAACCACAGCAATGAAAATCATAGATACTAATTTAATACATCAAAATATTAATATCTAACCTAAATTAAAATACTTTCTGGATCCAGACTTGATTAACCTAACTTTCTTGCTTGAATAAAAAAACCTATTGTTTATAAAAAATTTAACTGCAGAGATGAAAAGGGCTGCATGTTCATGTGTATTTTGTTTGAACAAATTGAGATATCACTTTAAACCAGGCCAAATACTGCACCTACTGCTACATAATTCAGCAGAAGCATAAGAGGAATGACTCATATGAGCACACTAAACAGACTATTTTTATAATTACTTATCAATTAGCATTATGCATAATTATTTTTTTGTTTTTAAACTACAACAGCAAAATATTTGCACTGAAGTTATCTTAATTATTAGAATGAATAATGATTCAAATACAAATATATTTAAGGGGAATTTTAAAATTGTAGGTCAGTAAATTAGCATGGCTTTAAATTATATATACTCTATACAAAATGTTTATTCAAGACAAATGTTATAACTCTTGGCCAATATGAATTCAAATAAAAATCACCTGAACAACCCAAGGCCTATTTGCAAATGCCATTATATCTCTTTCTTCCCAAAAGAATGCAGAATCTGATCTTTTTATCATCTCAAATTTGCTGAGAAGTTTCATGGCATAGACCTTTCTTGATGCCTTGTGTCTTACCTTTAAAACAAATAATATGAAAAAAACAATATACGTATGAAACAGCATGAGTACATTCTATTTCCATTAACTATGTTGAAAGGTTAGGGTTTTATACCTAGTCATCATCTTAAAAGGAAAGCTCTTTCACATTTCATGGAGCACTGTTGTTTTCTAGCTCTTCTTCTCTAGCATTATTGATTTACTTATTTCTGCGACACTGTCCCACACTCCACAGGTCTAGAAAAGATCAATGCTATTGAATGTTGTCATATCAAGGATAGATATTCTACAACTAAATACTTTGAAATGTTGTTGGCCAAAATTATTTCTACCTGTAAAATTTTTATAACCGACCAGTATAACATTTCCCACATATGAGTTTGGTATTAATTTTATAAATTTAGTATTTTATGTTTAAATCCATTCATAATTGAATTATTTTACTGTCCCTATCTATAGAAATAATGTGTAGTTTTCTCTCTATTTATTACATCTGAAATATCACAAATGTCTAGAGCGAATAAATGAGATAAGTTGTATTAATAAATATATTGGAGAATTAACTACGTTGCATTCTTCTAGCAGTTCTGCAACAAAATTCAAATCCTTAATTCAATAATATTTGTAATTGTCAGTTTTGTTTATAGCAACCATAAAACACAAATTATAAAATGATACATATCATGCAAAATAAGTACTGTATTTTTCAGAGTAAAAGACGCACCTTTTTCCCTCAAAAAAGAGGGTGAAAATCTTGGTGCCTTATACACTGAATACAGCATTTTTTGCCTCCAGAAACCCTGCCCCCTTCACCAAAATGGCTGTGCATAGCCTTTAGGAGGCTTCCTGGGGGCTGGGGAGGGCAGAAATGAGCAAAAATCGTTCTGTTTTTTGCTCAATTTTGCCCCCCCCCCGCCTCCAGGAGCACTCTACAAGCCTCCTAAAGGCTATTTATGCCCGCTTTTTTGGGGGGGGAAAGGGCCAATTTTCACAAAAAACGGGCCATTTTGGGGAGGTCTGCAGAGCGCAAAAGCTTTTTTCTTAATTTGCCTCTTCTAAATCTTTGTGCGTCTTATACTCGGGTGCGTCTTATGCTTCAAAAATACGGTACTTTCAAATTTAATTTGATATATTGCTTATTACTGCATATATTAAAGACCTATTAAGGTAAAAGAAATAGAATAACCTATTTCAATCCAATGGTAGTAAGTAATGCAGAGGGCATGAACACTAAAAGTAGGCAGGGCAACCAATTATGGGTACGCAACTTTCAAGTGTTTTTTTTTTCACTAAAGGTATGTGTACTATTTATATACATTGTCTATTCACAAAATGCCTTGTTTCCCAACACTATAATTAGATTTTAAAATAGTTGCTAACGTCAGTGATTTTGAAACACTGATGGAAGAGCATGAAGCCATTATTTATGTAGATTATACATTAAGGAGAAAAAGACATAACCTCTGTCCAAGAGGAAAACTTTCCTCCAGGAAAATGTACCTCTCACAGCAATTAAGGTTTTAAAATAAAACCACTGAAAACAATGAATTTCTTCTTGCCGTGCAGACTGGAAATGTAATCTCTCATCTCAGATAAGCACTTCACATATTTATATTAAAAATTACAATATGACTTGCTAAAATGTATCTCTACAACTAGCAACATTAGAACATAGTAGTTGGTTCTGTAAATTATACTGTAACAATAGCTTAATTAAAATAGGATGGAAACAAACCAAAATTATTCTTCCACAGTATATATTTAAAGATGGAATAAATCTTTCTTGTTATATATAATTCACAGAGCATGATAAACAAGAGTCTACTTTAACTATAATTTGGTTGATTTATAGTTAAAGAGGAGACAGATATTATTTTGCAGACAAAGTAGTTGTGGTTTATTTGGTAATTTTGTTGCTCTTTTTTCAGTTGAACTAATGTATATTTTGCTTGCTTAAAAGTTTACACAGGGCACAAACATTAGGCAAGAATACGCCAATAATCAAATTATATTTCCATGCACAAATCATGTCGCCTTGCAATAACTAATTGGTAAGAAAATGTCAGTTTAGACTATTATTTATTTCCATAAAACTAATCATGGTTTATTCAATGACAATTTTTTACTGAAAACTAGTGGTAGAATTGTTGCATTTCCGGTTGCTCTTAGAAGAAACCACATTTTTTTCAACACTCACTCAGAAAAATATGCACTTAAGAAAGTATTAATAAGACAGCAGCAAGATCCAATCATACGAAGTAAATATTTATTTTCAAGTTCCCAGATTTTTGGCAGCAGAGAAACTGACACAAACATCTATCACATATAAGAATAGTCTGTTCATTGGAAATGTCTATTTTAAAATAAAACTAAGATAAAAGTCTTAGTTGTAAAATCTCCATACATAGAATAACCTACCAACTGAACTTCTCCAAATGCTCCTCTACCAATCACTTTTACTACTTCATAATCTTCAGCTTTCATACGGAGATCTCTTACTTTATTTATTGTGTCTTTGTCTGTGAAGAAAATATAAAAAATACTGTAATAATAGTCTCATTCTAAAAAGAATGCTCACGGTTTCTGAAATAAATTTACATAAAAAAATATAATTATGATTTAAATTATATTCAAATAAAACATAGAGAATAGAGTAGAGTAGAGTAGAGTGGAGTGGAGTGGAGTAGAATAGAGTGGAGTAGAATAGAATAGAATAGAATAGAATAGAATAGAATAGAATAGTTGGAAGAGACCTTGGAGTTCTCATCCATGGAGAACTCATTCCAACTTTTATACTTATCCTTTTTGTCTTTCAATTTATCAGAGAATTCTTTATGCAGCCATGCTGGTTTCTTTTGAGAATTGTATTTTTTCTTCTTCAGACTGGGCTTTTATAATTTCACTTTTCAAAATTTCCCAAGCTTCTTGAGTTGTTTTCCCCTTGAGAATTCTCATCCATGGAATCCTTCCCAATCTCTA